GTCGAATTTTACAACAGATCACTGGAAACTTCAAGGATGGCTAGAATCTGGCTGTAAACTTCAAGAATTGGCCAAAAAATTGATCGAAATCTGAAAACTTACACCAGAATCTAGAAATCTCATTGAAAAGTTTGTTGAAAACAAAAATTTTCATTGAAAACTAAGATTTTCATCAAAAAATTCAAAGATTGTTCGATATCTTTATCAGAATATTTATTCACCTGCCAAAAAATTCAAATCTTTCCAGAAAAATTTTAGAAAATTATAGAAAACCTTCCTTTTGATAGATTTTTATTTCCCACACCAAACTCACTTGGATCGAACTTGAAACAACTTTCAATTCACCGAAATGTCTTAAAATTTTCAATCGAAGCACAGCAATATTACCTTAGCTTGAACTATTACTGCTTAAGAATTTACTCTCAGATTTCCCTTGTGATCATTGTCCTTTGCTGTGTGATTTGCCGAGTATTTATAGAAGTAGATTTTCATCTTAGCAAGAACTCTAGATCGTCAAGGATTTAGCTTAAAAAAAGATTTAGCATTATCATTGAAATTCATATCATAATTTTAAAAACTAGAATTTATGATAAATTATCACAAAAATTAACACTAGCCGAACCTTTCTTTTTCTCAATTTTTTGTTATTTTCATTCTTTTTATTTTGCCTTTTTTAAATTTTTATTATCCAAGACAAAAACATTAAACAAAGATAAGATAAAATAATAAATAAAATAAAATGATAAATAAGAAGTAAAATAAAATAAAGATAAATAAATATAAATATAATGATAAAGATAAATATAAAATAAATATAAATATAACATAAAATTATAAAATAAATATAACATAAAATATAAAAAATATAAATATAAATAACAAAATATGAAACAAAATAAATATTAAATATTCGAGCTTAAAATCAAACTGAGTTCAATCGACTTAAATTTTAAACAAAATGAGGTGTCTAAGAAAAAAAAATTATTTATAAGCTTATAAAGGCATACATTCATGCAAAGGACGAGGAACAAAATCTATTACTTGCATTGCATGATAGAACTATCTCTTTCAAGAAGAAAGTTCATAGAATTTTTTTTTATTTTTTTTCCTTGCTTCTTATATGTTTATTGCCAAATCTATTAGGCAATACGGTCAAGATTATCTTGAATTTTATGGTACTTTAATGTATGCTTCCTTTCATTCTTGACAATGTATGTTGGTTTGTTTTGACAATGTTATTTTATGAGTCATAAGTGCATGATAAGAAAGTAGATGGAAAAGAGATAAAGAATGCAAGAAAATGCATCAATATATCCTTTTTATATTTATATTTATATTTATTAAAAAATAATAACCTGAGATTTAATTAATGTTTTCATGTCAAATGAATTTCTAATTACTTCCATATAAATTGAAAATTATATAACCAAAACATAAGAAAAAGTGAGTCAAACAATATTAAAATCAACTACAATAGAAGCTTGAAATTATTTTTAATGTAAAAAATTACGCTGTTTTTTATATTTAAAATTATCAAAAATCGAACAACAATTACTGAAATTAAAAATTTATTATTTTACTAATATTTTTTATTCCCTAAACTCTTTTTTTTTTAAGAAAATCATAAAGAATAAAACATAGAAAGAACAAAAGAAACTTTGAATTTTCTTTATTTCTTTGTAAATTGCATTTGGATGTTCCAACACAGGTCAGGTAGTTGGACAGATCTCTTCAACCCCAATTTCTGTTACCCATGGAGTTGGGTTCTGTCATGTCAACATTTTTCAGTGTATAAGACATCGACAAACATGCCTCCTTCAATGTTGGTGAAATCATCCACTTATTTTTATCCTCTTATAAATTTATCAATTTAAAATATGATAAAATGATATAATATAAATATGATATAAAAATAAAAATAATAGTTTAAAATTTTAATAATTATTATATATAAATTTAATAAAAAATATATTTTATATTAAATTTTTATATAAACTATAATAAAAATACATAAATTTTAATATTTTATATAATATAAATATACAAATCATAAAATTATTTTTTTTCTCTTCTAAATTTTGAGATCAAAATGAGCAGAGCGTAACATTTTTGTTATCATTTTTTTTTCTCGTGGTGAACCGCACGCGCACCGAGTTGCGGCACAATAGTACTGTACACTAATTTCTAATCTTTTTCACAAAATGACATTTAAATTTGAAAGTTGGATAAGACTTAAATATAGTTATTTATATATAGTTATATATATTTGTGTAATTCCATAAATTCCCCTATAAAATGATGACATGCATTAAAATTACTTACCTCAATAATAACCCACCCTTAAATTCCTATATCTCGTGTCTCCCTCAATGTTAAAGTTAAAAAATAACATTTAAATGTTAAATTTTAAAAAATATTTAAATAAATCATCAAACTTTCTCAATAATGAAAATAATTTTTTTATTTTTTTTAAATGTATCATAAAGAACATGGTTCATTATATTAACCCCATTCGTAAAATTAAAAAATTTTATTAATAATATATTAAATAAATTTTTATTTTTAAAATAGTATTTCCTCAAATATGTACCATCCAACTCATCCAAAAAACTTAAATATTTTTTATAAATTACATCATCCAATAAAAAGATTTTAAAAAATGAATATTTTATAATTTCAAGGTTCTAGTTACGAATAAAATAAATGTTCATGCAATAAAAGATCATCCAAATAATTTCATGCAATAAAATATCAATGATGTATTTTCGTTTTTAGTAAATTTTGAGACCTTATTTGAATATTATCCCTAAAAATAATTAAAATCATGGTAAATGCGAAATCATCGAGGTTCGGGTTAGATTTGCCGATTACAATTGAGATATCTCGTTATAGACATGATCCGTACCAGTCTTCACAACCTTGAATAGTGACTCCATATTTTGATACAATAATAGCAAACTAGTTGTGTTGGACATGGGAACTAAGAGCTAAGAGAGAGTGGGAAGAGTGAACAAAGTACGATCCAAGACAAGATATGATGTAGGCGTGGGGAGGAGGGCTCATGCAATAACATTGTTGCCGAGTCAGTTTCAACTAAATATATATTTGCAAATTGCAAAAGGTCCCGTCTTCTATGTAAACTCTTTACCTTTGTTCCTTTGTCTTTTTCCCTCCCACCTAACTCTTTCTTCTCCAATTTTCATTTTCTTTAAAAAAAAAAAAAGATTTTCTTCATCATTACTCTAACATGTAATGTTAAAATATTGAATTGGAATACATACTAAGTTTATTTTTATTAATATTCTTTCAAAAGTTTCGCAAATATATCTATCCATAAGCTCTGAAAATACAAACAATCAATTAAATATTAAAAAATATTGGATCACTAAACATCGATCTAATTTAAAATTAATCAACAACAAATGAAGGGTTCAATTTGAATATAACATCATAGAACAAATGTAAAATAATATCATTTTAAAAAACTTTCATCAATTGTAAATGAAGATAAAAACTTATCATATGATAAACTTAAAAAAAGAGTATAAGATAAAAATCATGAAACAGAACTTGAGTTTAATATCATATTAAAGATTTCAACTTGAATATAAGATAAAAAAAAAAAAAACTTAAAAATTAATAGATATGAAATAATATTTTTAATAATATTATAAAAACAAAAGATTAATTCTAATGTCAAGTTCAAAGAATTTCACTTGTTATCAAGATATATTTCACATAAAAAAAATTAGATACTAAACGAAAAATGAAAGATACACAAAATATTGACCAATATTGAAAATTTTGTAAAGAAGATTATGCATTATCGAGTTATACAAGTTTAAAAAATAAAGATAATCGTCAGTGGCTATCATTCTATAAACCTGCTAAAACAATGTTGTTTCATAACATTTAGATATCATGTTGGGTGAATATATGTATTGCCTAACTTCAAGATCATGATTCTTCCCCTTTTTATTTAAATTTTTTATTATTATAGTTTTTATTATTTTTATGAAAAAAAGTATGCTATAATAGTGATATGCCACTTTAAGCTTACATCACAAACACTAAGAATGTCGAATATGACTCAGATACCCCACCACTATTTGCCACGTGTTCTCCACCTCTATCTTTCTTGCTTTTAGAATTTTAATTGTTATAGTATTATTCTTAAAATGCAAAAAAATAATAATAATAAATTTCTATTTTTTTCTCATGCGCTTGAAGCATAATATATGGATAATCATAATCATGCATGAAAGAATAACTTTTTATGAACTCAATACGGTTTTATGTCACCGCATCAAATCATCATCATCACACGTCAAATATAGATTCATTAATAAATATATATATATGATTATAATTTGTTATAATTTTTCATTTTTATCGTAAGGGAAAATTTTCATATTTATCATATGTCTTTTTGAATTGTTTCAAAGTCATCCTTCTTTAGCAGAAGAACAAAAGTAAGTATCATATGAAACCAATTATTACTAATGAATTTGTCAAAAAAATCATTACTAAAGTATAGCCTTGCTAAATTTTTTGGTGGAAACCTTGCTAAACTTGGCTAAAAGCGTAGTTGATTTAATTCCCTTCTATATGGTTTGGGTTGAAAATGAAGAAATTGAAAGAAGGTTTTCTTTTCTTTTCTTTTTTGTTAAAAGTATTTGAGATTGAGCAAAGAAATTATAGCTTAAAAAGATGGATCATAAATGTTTAGATTTAAATTTTAAATTTATTAATTATCTTCTTTTAAAAATAATTATATAAATAAATTGAATCAAGTTTCGGGTTTGTAAAAAAACCTTTATCATATAGGAGTATACAACTTTGTAATATTTTCCCTTATCTAGCTAGCTTTTCCAAATGAAATTGCCTTTAGTAAAGCAACATATTGACACACCCACGCATGCCAAACATATATGGTTAGTGCCCTCCAAACCATTATAAATATAAGCCAACTCCTAGCTTTTCCTTTAGGGAGAAACACAAAACACTTCCTCAGGTGTTCTTCCTCTTCCTCTGTCTATTTTCTTCTCTTTCTTCCTTTTCAAAACTGCAACTCTCCCTTTTTGCTGAGTTTTTTTTTTTTGTCCCAATAACTAAGAAAAAATGGAGAAGTTGAGATGTTGTGGCAACTTCCTTGAGAACTCCAAACCTTATTTTGCGATGATTTCATTGCAATTCGGGTATGCCGGTATGAATATTATCACCAAAGTTTCACTTAACAGAGGCATGAGCCACTACGTCCTTGTTGTCTATCGCCATGCTTTTGCCACTGCAGTCATAGCTCCCTTTGCTTTGATTTTCGAAAGGTTTGAAGATTGACATTCAAATTCAATATATATACAAAAGAAAAACAGTTAATATGTGCTGAATTTTACTATGTTTTTAACATTTCAGGAGAGGACAACCAAAGATAACATTCCCAATTTTCATGCAAATATTTATCCTAGCTCTTCTTGGGTTAGTTTTTTCTGGAACCCTTTTCTCTTTCATGCATAAAATTTTGCTTTAGGATCTTAAATTTAAGCAAAGTTATTGTTTCCTGATACCAAAAACAGGCCTGTGATTGATCAGAACTTCTACTATGCTGGGTTGAAATATACATCTCCAACTTTCTCATGTGCTATGAGCAATATGCTGCCTGCAATGACATTTGTCATGGCTGTTATGTGCAGGTATATATATAATTTTTAGAATAGATTTGGCTAATTAAAGCTAACTAATGAATTGACTGATTGAAATTGAATTTTTGGTTGGTTTGGAATGAATATTTATATATAGGATGGAGAAGATTGATGTAAAGAAAGTGAGATGCCAAGCAAAGATAGTGGGAACAACAGTGACTGTGGCAGGGGCAATGTTGATGACATTGTATAAAGGACCCCTTGTTGAATTATTTTGGAGTAAGAATATCCATCCTAGGCAATCATATGTCACTGACACTACTGGAACTACTGACAAAGATTGGATCAAAGGCTGCATCCTCCTCATCATTGCCACGCTTGCTTGGGCTTCGCTCTTTGTCTTACAGGTAATTAGTTGAACAGGAAAAAAATTTTAGAAAAAGAAATCCCAACAAATTAATTGATTAACTTTGATGGTTTGTTTAATTTTATCATTTTCACCAGGCAAAAGCGTTGAAGACGTACAAGAATCATCAACTTTCTCTAACATCATTGATGTGCTTTGTGGGCACTCTTCAAGCTATTGTTGTGACATTTGTGATGGAGCGCAAGGCCTCAGTTTGGCAAATTGGTTGGGACATGAACCTCCTTGCTGCAGCCTATGCTGTAATAACTCTTTCTTTATCTTTTTTCATCTCTGCCTCTTTTCTATACAAACATGAAAAAGTGATCTTGGAAGTCTCAAATAAATTTAAAAAAAAAAAAACTTTTCCGATTTTTTTAACTTTTTAATTTATAATGTTTATAGGGAATTGTGACATCAAGCATATCATACTATGTTCAAGGACTGGTGATAAAGAAAAGAGGTCCAGTATTTGCCACTGCTTTTAGCCCTTTGATGATGATCATAGTTGCAATCATGGGCTCTTTCATCCTAGCAGAAAAGATTTTTCTTGGAGGGTAATATTTAATTTCTCTTTCACACCCTTTTTTTTGCATGCATGCATGCTTTCTTACATATATGCTTGTACAGCTGTTTTTCACTTGTATCAGCTGCTTTATCTTTAGATACAATTTTGTACTTCATTCCATATTCAATGACAACTCAAATATTATTGGCATGCATCAGTATTTGTAAGATTTAATCAAATTTAAGTCCTCTTTTGGATTGTTTAATTGCAGGGTGATAGGTGCCATTTTGATAGTAATAGGGCTTTATTCAGTGCTATGGGGAAAGCACAAGGAAAACAAAGAGAAAGAGATTAAGGAGGAGATCCCAGAACCAATTAAAGATATCCTAGCAAACCATGGCAACACCATCTTGGTGATTGGAGATATTGAAGCAAATCAAGTTGAACTGCAAAAATCAGAAGCCAATAACAAGCTTTCAGCAGTTGCCATAACCATGCCAATGCCAGAATCCCCCTTCAAAGCCAACCAAGACCAAAAATAATTCAAGTTTAATTTTCAATTGGGAAATTTTGTTTCTATCATTTTTAAAATATGCAAGATAGATATTATGTCATATATGGGGCCCTTTTTTTCTCTGATTATTATAAAAGTAATGTTGTAAGCTAATGCTTTTGTAAGGAGCCTGTTCTGAATGAAAATATGAGAGAATCCCAGAATCTCTTTTTCTTTTATGTGATCAGAATTTGTTTGTGTCTTAAATAAAAAGGAAACTTTTTGGTTGGGAATTTGATTTGTCATCTGATTATACATATGGCAGAATCTCTGACGTCTGATTCAGATTTCACTAATGTATGCTTGCTAGTGGTTAACCTTTTTTCTGTGTTAATTGAGTCACATATTGGCAAAAAAATGTTCTAAAAGAATCATAATTGCATCTTTTTGTCTTGAATCTGATGCTTCAATTTTCTAATTCAATGAAACAAATTAATTTTTGTTCACCAATAGCTGACAGACAGATACAATTTGGGTTCAATTGTTTTCAACTTTGTTCATGTTCTCTCCAATTTATTGGAATGAATAAAAGCATAGATTCAGGTGGCTACTGACAAGCAAATTAAATCACTTTCAAACATTATATTCCATAGAACAATGGGGAGGGGTTCTTTATCATATGGTATCATATATGGATATATAGTTATTTACAAGAGAGAAATGATCAAGAGTCCAAAAAACATATATTATATTATATTTATTATATATATATATATCCATTAATCAATGTTCAATCCCTAACAGATTCAATTATCAAGTATATATATTTAAAAATATATATTTCATACTCAAAAAATTCGATTCGAATCTGATTTTTTGAATTAAAAAAAAGGAAAAAAAAAGTCTATTTTATATGCATAACATCTTCATTAGATTTGTGGTACAAGAATTACTTCCAAGAGAATTCTTATCTTCTTCCAAATTGAACTATGTACCAGCTAGTAGACAGTACTTGACGTAGCACCAACAGCGATGTATATATATTCCAAGAATTGATCTGCCTCCCATCAGCCAAACTATTGACAAGTATATATATCACATTAGCATCTTCATTCTTCAATCTGTATGCAGATTTCAAAGATTTAGCATCTTAATTAATTATATTCTTCTTTCTCATCAATCCTCATTTTGATCCACACCTGATTGATTTATCATCTCAAAGGAGCTGTTTCCTCACAAGAATTTCTTCCCATACTACATTGCATCCAATGGAAGAAAATTTTGGTCAAAGGCAGTCCTCCTTTGTCTTTTATAGGATAAAACTAAAGCCTCAAACCCCCCACCCCTTTCTTTTTTCAATTTTTCTAATCAAAGATCCCAACATGCATAGAATAACGGAGCTGCATTGAGCATCTGTTGCTTCGAAAAACGACAGAAGCTAGTGATTAATGGTTAAATGCTCATTATAAAATCCGAAGTTTGCAAAAAATTTTTTATTTTGATCATTTTAGGATTCCAACTTTATGATTTTGATTACTTGAGAAAAATTAGTAATTTTTGTCATGATAGGTTTCATTTTTTTGATCAATTTTCTCCGACTAGTTAAAAGTATATTTGGATGGATAGTTAAATTAAAATCAACGATGACGGTAAAATTAGAATTATTGATAGGATACATGTATAAATACAAATATAATAATGACAGTGAGGTTAAATATGAAAGTAGATTAACATAATTAAAAATCCTCTTATTTTTTCAATTTTATATTAAGATAATCAAATGTTCATAAAATCTTGTAATGCACTGGATCCTTCCCCTCCAACCTCCAACTGAAGCGATAGTGAGGTTTGGGCCCCCAATTGTACACTAAGGTTTCATTTATTTCGCGAAAAATAAATTTTTGAAAAATATTTATATTTTTTTATTTGAAAGATATTTTTTATTATTTGGATGAATTAATGAAAAATATTTTCAGTTCGTTTGGTTATTTTTTAAAAAATCTGGTTTTTTTAAATAATATTAATATAACTATTTAAAATATTAAAAATTATTTATTATTAAAGTATATTGAAATTATTTATTATTAAAATTATTAATATTCAAAAATAATTATATTGTGATAACAATATTTAATATTAAAATATTATGTAAATATAAAAAATACTTAAAATAAAACTATTTATTATTCTTTATATTATTTAGTAAAATTAAATGAAATATATAGTAGTAATCATAATATTCCATAAGCACGGTTCCAAATTGATAAATTTAAGTACTTTCTGTGACAAATTCTAGCTTTTGAAAAGATGGTTTCATATTGCAGCATATTTGTTAGTGGCCAACTAGCTATAGCTAATGCTTTTTTTTTTTTTTTTGGTTGTGTGTGGTTGCCAAAGAATATCTCCATAACTCTTATTCTTTGAATCTCTTTGGCTCACATCAATTTCTTCCATGATTCTCATATTCTGTCCACACAAATATTCTACAATTAAGATATGCATGCCTCTCATCCTTCTTATCAACTACTATAGTGATTTAAAAGGTCTAATGATTTTTTTAAACTTTATTCTATGGTGGTTTGTTAACAATCTTAAGTTTAATTAGAATTAAAACCGAATCATTTGAATTAAAAATTTCGCACTCTACTGTCAGATTACACGGTTGTTTAATCTGAAATTATTCATTATTCAATTACAAGAATTTACCTTGGCAAAGAAAAAAAAAAATGTGGAAAAACGTAGAACAGAACTAAGAGGTTTTAGAATCTTTAAACTCAGCTATTTTGCATATCATACTAAATATCCCATTACTTGAACATCTTCCAAATTCTAGTTTGGAGGCAGAAATCTTTGTTTTTCCTTTTCTACTTTGCCTAACAAATATTCGAAGTACTGATTCTTTGAACTGAACATATCAAATAATCAATGATTCTGGGCTGCATTTAACAATGTCAACTTGCAAATATTTCATTGTTTTTATTCTACAAATGATTCTGAAGTAGAAATGCCATTAACATGTTCATACTAAGCACAATCTGACTTAATTATCTCTCAAAAATCTTTTGATAACTGATCAAGTCTTTGTTCACATTTTTTTTTCTTATTTTCTGTTACATATGAAGGAAGATTCAATTAAGCTACATTATGAAAGAAAACTTTCTTCTGTACCGTAAATCTCACTGCTCGACCATGTTAGGATTCGAACCTGAGATCTCCAAAATAAATTACTAGAGTATATGATTGCGACTTTGGTTTTTTTTTTTTTTTCTTCTTCTTTTTGGTTCCATAGTGCTTTTGTAAATATCATTAAGTGAAACCTATTGGAGATGTCATAATAATCCACTTGGAAGGATTAATATTAATCTGCATGGAAATCACTAAAGTATATATATGATTGATACTTCTCTGATAGCGATGGATCGGTTCTCCACATACAATAATAATTTAATTAATTATAATTTTCTCTAGATAAGATGTTTCTTCTAGCATGTAAGACTCCATTGTTCAACTTAATGGAGAAAACTCAACTAACCTCAATCTATGTTTTAGAATATTAATTTATTCCTAATGCATTCTTAACAACTAAGGATTAGTTTACAGATGTTTTATGTGCCTTTGCCCTTTAGCTTTGCATTATTCCTTGAAGTTTCCACAAAAATGACATAAATATTTATCTAAGTACCACATGTATAAATTAGTTCATTTTGATAAGAATTTTTGGCTACACAAAGAGAACCTTATTCCAACTCATAAATTACACACGTCAATCACAAGATATTTTTTGAACTTGAAAACTCCAAGATGGATATTAAGAATCTCAAACCCTACCGTTATTTTTGAAAGGGTGATGAATTTTGTGTTCTTCATAAATTCTTCGACTTAAATATTAATTTAAACAAATAATTTTTTTATATTTAAAATTATCAAGGATTCAATCTTAAGTACTGTAATTAAGAATCTAACATTTTATTAAAAAATTACATGGCGGCTCTTGGCTTAAACCAACAATACTTGTGGAATCTGATTTGTTGCAAAAATATATAATTGGGGAAATGATGAATCCCTCACTCTATATATATTTCTTTCAAGTGGAGAGTTGAGACTTATCTTAAAGGAACCCACATTTTATAATGCTCCAGAATCAACTTACTATATAGCATGAATCATGATGTCAACCTTGCGAGAGAATTTATGCTTTAATATGTCATTATTTCTCTTTTAGATTCTTTTATCTCATAAGATTCATAAGCATTCTTTTCTGATCAATATTTATCCATTAAATTTTCCAACATCTAAAATATCAATGGCCAGTTTCCATGTAGATAGAATTACAAATCCACATTCTTATTTAATTTCTAAAGAAAATTTTAAATAAAAATATATGATTGTGGATAGTTGTTAACGATAGAAAAATTAAATAAGTGAATAAAAATAATAGCAATGAATTTGGCATTGAAGCGTGAAGTATATTTTTTTAAAAGTAATTATATTTATATGATATAACAAAATTTCAAAACTTTTCAAGCAAAAATAGTGAAAATGATTATACATAAAAATTTATTTATATATAATTGATGAACAAATATATATGTTCTTTTAATAAATAACCATATCAAATTGTTTAAATAGTTATAACTCTTTTGTTATTAACTAGTATAAACAAATATTTCTATTTAAACATAATTATTCACTTAATAGTTGTAGATCTTTTGTTACATAATTATTTTAAACAAATGTTTCTTACTTAAACATAATTATTCAAACTATGAATAATTAATACAATATTAAATTGCATAATATTCTAAACTACCAACAATCCACATTAGTTTGGAATATTAGTGCTTAATTTTTTAAGTTTTACACAAATAACTATTATGAATATAAGAATTTATCTCTCTATTTAAACATTCAGTTAATATATATAGTATATATCTTAGAATTCTAACAAATTTGATGGTATCAATAGATTAAACCCCAACTCCTAGTGTTATAATTGAATACATAACATACATAACACTTACTTATTCTTCTATCAGAGGTTTATAATGATTTTAACACATTATTATTATGTACTTATCTTATTCATAAACATTTAGAAAAGAGATCCCATTTTTTTTTTTATTAAAGCGACACTACTTCTATATTTATATAGGTAGTGTTTTCTTAAGGTCTCCATTACTTTAGATATTTACATATTAAACTTCATTAAAAGTATAAACTCAATCTTCCCACACAATAGATCACCTTAATTTTTAAAAACTGAAAGGGTTTTATTAATGTTTAATAAATATATAATAATAACTTATTTTTACGTATTAAACTTTATAATTAGAGATTATTAATTCAAAATTGAGTCTCATTATTGGTGTCTAACAGTATGGATTTAAACCCATTTCACTTGTAATGCTACTAACCAAATATCTTGAAATTAAATTTTTTATGGTAATTACTCCCACTCAGATTTAATCTCTAATATAATCACTTTAATGTCTAATCCAAACTTTTCATTTTGCATATTATTTATATGCTCTAGACGTTATTGTCTCATTTTGTCATTGTAAAATATAGTTAGCATTAGTTGTGACCACAACTCTATACATATTAATATAAATTTCAACCATTATATTTTCATACTTTTATCCATCTTTAATACAATTATATTTCTAGTAGAATTGGATAAAATGAATAAATAGATCAAGCCATTTTAGTCCTTATAAGATATTTAAAGACTTTTTTTAATGACTTTCTTTTAATAAATTGTACTAAAATTATTTGTTTGTATAATTTACATATAGTAAAATTATACCAAATTTCATAACCCTATGATGACAAATTTTTTATTCTTTTGTTTCTTAAAAGTTATACGAAACCATCACCCCCTCCATGTGAAAACGTTCATTTTTCTATTAACGAATACATCATTCAATTATCAAGATATCATATATATTTAATTAATTTGTTATTTCATTTATCTTTTCACTGTGATTTTTTTTTTTTTAGTAGGAGGCCTCCAAATCCACCATTTGTGAAAGTTAACATATCTTGATATTTCTTTTCATAAAAGTTTTTAAATTTTATTTCAATTTAGTGTGAGAGCATACATTAACAAGTATTATATGTCAACTACAATTAGGGCTGTAAATGAGCCGAGCCAAGCCGAATAGTGAGAAGCTCGAGCTCGAGCTCGACTCACAACTCGGGGCTCGATACTCAGCTCGAGCTCGATTCGTAATCGAATTCGAGCTACTTGAGCTCGCTCGATTAAGCTCGATTAATATGTAAAAATAAGCTCGATTCATATACTCGACAAAAGTTCGATTATTCATGCTCGAACTCGGACTCGAAATATTTTATTAATTAAAATAATAAAAATATATTTAAATATAAAAGCTCGATTAGGCTCGCGAGCTACTCGAATCAGATATAAGAATACTCGAATTCGGCTCGATCGATAAGTCGAACTACTCGAGCTCGAGCTCGAATCGACAATAATCAAACCGAATTCGAGTTTTTTTCGAATCGAATCCGAGTAGCTTGCGAGTACTAATGTATCATTTACACCCCTAACTACAATCACCCTCAAAATTATTTTTTTTAGTAAACTCATGCTTTTATAGTCTATTTTTGATACTTTCATAACAACTTATGGATATTTATTAATCTATTTCATCATGGATACTATTAACCATTTTATTACCATGAGCAAAATAATATCCATCACCGAAATGGATTAAATGGCATTCATCTTTCTATTTTAAAAGTTTTCATGTTCACAAAATCTTTGAATCGTTCATAATTTTCCAAAGTAAATAATAATATAATTTTATACTTTCACTATATCTCAAAACTTTTAATAAAATCATGATATAATAGATCATTTATACAAGGCATGATTATTATCAAATAAAATTGCACAAATATATTACTTTTATGTAAAAACCAACGAAAAAACTATTTGTGTATTATATACAAATAAATCATTCTTAAACTTAATTATTAAGAGCACTATTCATTTAAAAGTGATACCACCTTCTCCATGTATAACTCATTTAGTGAAAGCCAACATCATTATCAAGTCCATACATTAACGGTGCATGTATCGGTTTACACCGGTACCCTTGCCATCAAATTGTAAAAACTTATGTACCAAAGAGACTTGTGCACTTTTATTCTCAATGTTTTGCACATAAATGCCATATATGCTAACAATAAGATAATTGGAGCTTGTATTCAAATAATCACTCATTTTCGTTTTCTTAATATATAGCAAGCCATATGTATGTTCTCCATGTCCAATTCTAGGCTTATGAATGTTTCAATTCATTGCTATATAATTCAAAAAAATTCACAAAACATATATTCAAGTCATGAAATGTGATAACACATGGAACCATAAAATGAATTTTAACATCAATGAGTGATCTTTTTCTTTCATTAAAATTGTCTTAAAATATTTAAAAAATTAATATCCACTTTTAGCTAATATATATAAATATAAGAATGGATATATTCTTTATATATATATATATATATATATATTATTTTACATTGCCAAAATTTTCATGGCATCTCAATTAAACATGACCTCTTTATATGCATTTCTACCATAGTTCCATAGTATCTCCCTTGAAGATCTCTCACAAATGCTATATGCATGGTGGATATATTAAATATAAGTGCATATATTTCACCTTGGATATATACATGGCCATATATAATCATTATATTAATAATGCATACATCTATTACCCAAACTAAATAAATATCATATGGGCAAAATATTGAAGTAGCATACATACATACATACATACATTCATACTTACATACATACATATATATATATTACTACTTTAGTTTTTTTCAACTAAAACATTATTTTATGGTTGTAATAATTTTAATCATATTTTCATAATTCTTCTACTTAACAATCGTCAAAATAAACATAAATTCATGTTTATTTAAGGATTGAAATTTCAATCATGCCTTTGAACAAATAATTAATGTATTTTATTAGCAAATTGTAACAAGCATAAAGCTTAACTAATCAAATTCTCCCCTATAAACATTGCATTTAACTCAAAATATGCATGTTATGACAAGCATGATTAAACAATATAAGCATAAAAGATACAATAGCATCTAAATAACATATGGACTACTTAACCACAAAAAATTCAAAAAAAAAAATATTGGGAGACTTCATTACCGTTCACTTCCATTGTAAACAAAGGTCCCAATGAATGGTCTCCATTTTATAACTATTTATTTTCCAAATTCTCCTTAATATTGAACAAAAGAGATCATTTATCATGTTTAAATCCAAATTTTTTCACCAAATATATATAGAGGTACTATTCTAAATCAACCTCAGTGAATCACATTATAAATCCATGCATAAACCTGCTCTTGACTTATCATCCAATCCAAAAATAATGACAATTTACATGCATATATATCAATTCATCCAATCATGTCTTCATGAAATTCATAGACCGATTTTAACTTTTTTTTTCCATTTTATATATAGCCAAGGTATGATTATTAAACAACTGCCATTCCACTAAAATCCAATTTATACCATGACTAGATGATAAGGGAAAAGTTTCTTGAACATAGAGGGATTCATTTCTTTTTTTATGATTACACTATTCTCCATCTTACCCTTTATATACATTGGGTTTTCAATTCATTAAATTAATTGATAGCTAATTTCAATCAATATGCAAAAAAGTTATGGTACTGTAATCAATAATTAGAAATAGAATTCTAAGCATACACGTAAATATAAGTATTTACTATTAAAAGTTAACAAATTGTTGGATTAGCAATAGTAATTATACTTTACTACCTAATAATTAGAAAGTTAATGTAATTAGTGGTAGTAGTTCATTCAGATAATGGATCTGACCTAGCACACTAACACGCTAAATTATCATGTGGTTTCTTACATTTTGTTTTCAAAATTCTATTATATTCCATAAAAATTTTAGTACTTTATATTTAAATTCCCAAAATGAACAATGGTGGTTTAAGATGAGTGTAGGAGATAAGTACAATGTAAAACTGTTCGTTATAGAATTAGAACTTTGATTTTGAATGAATTTCAATCTCCATTTTTACATTATTATATCTAATTTTTATAAAATATATCATTATAACCAAAAAAATCTCTTTAAAATTCAAAAAAAAAAAAAATTGGAAGCTGTAATTTTTTCCAAATTTTAATTTACCTTATTTAATTGATCATATTAAAGGTAAAAAATAGAAATGAAAAACGAAAAATATTTTCTAAAATTAAATAGGCCCTTCGTTTCCATCTGCTGATTGGTTTTCTTATAGTATTTCATTATATATATTGAGTAATCAGTGAAATCAGCCAAAGCTAGTATTTCTCCTTTAATATTGGTGGTAATTTGGGTGTTGCATTGTTGTCAACTATATTTGCGCCCCTCAATTATGAAGTTGAGTTTTGTTCTTGGTGAGATTTTTGGTGTTTGTTGAATCAATCTATATTGATAATATATAAAGTCTACTCATTCGTTTTCATTTTTTTCGAAATTTTAAATTCAAATCTTAGGAGGATTAGAGGATTTAGATTTTTTTATTGAGAGAATGTTAATCTCGAAGTCATGAATGTGCAATTAAATAGTGTAAAAGTCAGTTATGATAATATTAAACACAATAACACAATATATACCAAAACGATATGATTTAAAATTAACAAAAATTATATATAAATTTAAAAAAACAAAAAAAAAATCTTTATATGCTTGACATATGGACACAAATTATAATACAATAATTTTTTTATTTTACACGTATTTGACATAAAACAAACACAATAAAAATAAGCGAACTAACAAATCTGATAAAAGTGCATTTCATATCAAATAATAGATCAAACATCTTTGATCTCAATGTAAAATGCACAAAATCATAAAGGCTAGGATAGAGAGTTCAACTTTTCTTGTGTATCATTTACAATGCTGTGATAAAAAGAAGTTCAAGGCAATCTAATTACCTCGAGAGACGGAGTCATCCTTAGGGAGAGCAACAAAGTTCAATGGTATTACATTGTTGACCCTAGCACTTTCTCTACGTTCCTTTAAACTTGAAACCCCATGCCTGCCTGAAGGAGTAGAAACCCGACGACTGATTGGTGTTCCAGCCATGGTATTAGTCTGACCCAACGGCTTCTTTGGTCTTGATCCGAACAGTGCCTCTTGCTCTGCAGCAAATTGTTCTTGCAACCGTTTTTGCTCCTGCAAGATAAAGCATAATCAATCAACTTTAGCCAATTTTTTACTCAACTAAAAATCTGCCATCCTCCAACGAAACTAAATGACAACAACAAAAATGGCAAATTTAGTTGTGTAAGCAGATCCAACATAGGGAGTGCATGAATTGGAGAATAGGAATAAAGGCATTTCATGTTCAACCTACATGCTACTTCGATATCATGATGCAAGTTGTATTACATTCAAGTGCATGACAAACATTTAAAATTAGATTATGGAATAAAAATGAGTCCATAATATATAAAAAGGTCAAAACACTTTCATAAACATTTAATGCCATTTCACTTCTTTGATAGAATTTATTCCTTTTCATTTATGAACTTTCCTTTTAAATCTTTTTTTTTCTCTTGTTCTTGTTCTTTGTAGATCAATCTAAACCGTATCCAGTCCAATACAACCTATCCATGACTCAAAGGCAACAGGTTGCACATAATAGTTGATGCAAAGTGTTTCATAAAGTTAAGAACTAAGAAGGAACAATTTGTATTTTAGTGCCTAAGATGTATGGTGAGATAAGTAGCTCTTTAAACCTTGTGAATCGATATGTACCTTAAAGAATTGGTAGTGCAATAGGTTTAAGGTACTGAAGCTATGATGATGCTTAAATAGTAAATATGCAAGCATACCCGAGATCGACGCTTCTCCTCCTCTCTCTCTTGGCGTAGCACAGTATATTCCTCCAACATGTGTAAGAGCGAAGCCTTCAATCATAAATCAGTTTTGAGACCAAAACAATCATAAACTTATTTAAAAATAATAATTATAATCACAAGCCACCTACCTTATCATATAGAAAAGGGATTCCTTTCTCCAGCTCCCATGCTTTTACTTTTGTAGTCAAATTCTCAACAACAGCTATCCAACAAGAAGAAGGTTAAGTATTATACAATGGCCATTCAACACTACTGGTTTATGAATACATTAAGCATGGCAAACCTATCTCCTAGTAAACCTTCATAAACCTTTAAAAACATTAGTCACATGTTTGACAGGCCAAGGAAACCTTGTTTTCAATATGTTCTTCTTCAATTCATAGGCTATCCATGATATTAGTAATGTACTCAATGCAGTTCAAGACATAGAGCAGTTATGTGCATGGCTCCACACATCATAAACATGTCATGTTCCATAGATAGGCACATACTTTCACAGTTAATGTACAAACTACATTCACATTATTTTGATGCAACAATCAAGATGATAAAGTAACTATGGTTCTTTTTAAGCTTCACTACTAGCAATTGAAGCTTAGTTTACTCAGGAAAATTCTCAGTAAAGGCCAAAATGCACAGCAGCTATCAAATAAATGTCTGTATCATGCCCCCAGCTTCTAATTCTAATATTCAATTTTCTCTACTTGAATTGATAAGTTAAATCATCACCCTTCTTTAATAGCTTTGCCGATAATTCAGATATTATTTGTTGATCCTCTTCATAACCTGTTTCTTCCTTCAAGATACAAATGTTTGTAATCACATGATAGCTTAAATCTCACCTTAGCATAACATTCCAAGTAGAAGAGCAGCATTTAACTCTAGAAAATAATTCTGCCTTTTAGAATTAGGAAGAGAAAGTTCTGGAAAGACTGCCAAAAAGTACTTTGGAAGTTGTTAAGAGTTCAAGAAAATCTGTGAGGCTGAAGTGAAATATATGCGTAGGATAAACATAGGAAAGACTTATCGCCTTATCCCACTGCCTAGCCTTCCCACCAAATAAATAAATTTGAAGTAAAATTAACAAAGTATACGAGCCTCATATAAGAAGTTCTAGAGGATTCAGAAAACAAAAAAAAAAAAAAGAAAAACCCTGTGTACAAAAAAAAGTCCTTGTCTTCCAATGAAATAAATAACAGGATAGAAAATACTGCTAAAAGGAAAGTAAACATTAGAAATAAAATTTAAAACTACAAATTTTACATCAAATGCTGAAATATTTGAAATCACAACAAATTACTTTTAAAAAATTAGTTAAATCACATCAATGAAACAAGAATAACCAATTCCCTACTCATTGAAGAAATATATAAATGAATTAAGTGAACGATGACAATATAATGTATTACAAAGAAACAGTCCACAAACAAACAATTCATTATCAGATAGATATTCCACATTTTCTCTTTTGAAAACTTGCATTGCAATAAAGCATGTTTCCTACTAAACAGAAGAAATTAATTTAATACATCAGAGAAACCTATATTATGATGAAACATGATTATAAGCTTACATGGCAATTTGCTGACCAGAATGCGTGCTTTCTCTGCACGTTTCAGATTTTTGTGCACTCCTCTTCCTGCACTATATCGGTTTTCATCCTGTATAAAACAAAAAATAAAATAAAAATTAAGATAAAAAAAATGAAAGGTATAACTCTATAACTGTACATCAATAACTTTCACCTTCTTTAAGCAGTTTACAGATAGCCCATCTAACGACAATATTTCACAGGTTAAAACAATTTTAAAGAGGGGTAGGGGCAATAATGCCAATAACTAGTGCTAAAACTGGTTCAGTTCTGTCTCAATGATAATTTGACTCAAATTTCATATTTCACTGGCTCTTTAGGAAGTTGATTCTTTAATATGGTATTTATAGGGGATTATTAATATTAAAAAAATTATACTTCAATTTTTTTAAGAAAAGTCCCCTTCCCTGAAAATATAACTTTAAACTGGTCAAGATCTGACTTCAAGAAATGTGAACTTTGAAGCACCAGATAAAATTTTATGTGTGGCCAGCCCTCTCTAGATCATAACAACTTAACAGTGATCATGATTTCAAAAAGAAAACATTACACTAAAGCATGCATATTTTAAAAACTACTATAATTTTGGGATATTAGCATATTAACATAAAGATTACATTTTATGCAGCAGAAAATGTAAGGGTGAGAGTCAATCTAAGGATCTCTTAACAGAAATTCCAATGGAACACTGAATGCAGCAGGAAAAATTCCAAATAGTTTCTAAAATAAGATTTACCTTTTCATAGTCATCCAGCCATTTTTCCTCCTCGGATGCATGTCTCCATTTCTCTACCTTGTCCAAAATATCTTTCCGGCTTAAAGCTTCCTGTTTGGCTTTTGCAATCTGATCATCCATGCTAGACAGCAGATTGGACACATCAACATTACCTGCAAAGACATGTTGAAGGAATAATCACATCACATATTAACAAAAATTTCTGCATCAAGAATTGCATCCATGATACAAAAAAAAAAAAATTTTCAAAAGCAAATGAATATTTCCAAAGAACATAACAGAAAACATGCAAAGAACATACACCTCATTATATAGTTATTATGTATGACAAACTATGGGGCACTAAAAATGGAAATCAATTTTCAACATGAAAGACAGACACATTTATAGAAATGCAAACAAATATAGATAATTCAGAAGAAGGAGATAATTTGGTAGAACCAGATTCTATGAGGTTGATAAGAATCTGCCGTGCTGCATCACTGTTTACATCCATATGGACTCCTCTGTAGATTTCCTCAAGTTCATTTTGCCTCTTAAATACCAACTCCTTCATTTTACTACCCTTCAGTACATTTAATCTTTCAACCTCAACCTCAACCTGAAAACAATAACATATATATAAACATTAAGTGCAAAATACAATAACCTCAGAACATCAGCAGTTCTAATAAAATAGAAAAAAAAAAAAAAAAATGTGTTACGTGTTCAATGATATCAAGACCAAGGCATCCTTGTCTGGAGACCTCATCAACTGATCTAGAAATCAATGAAGTAACATGCTCAAATCTCTTTTGCTCATCAGCAGGTGAATCAAGGAGATTCCATAGTTCCATCAAAGTGCTCCCGAGACATTGAAGCTACATGTAAAACAAAATGTTTTAGAGAACAAAGTTTCTGGTGAAACTCACATAGAAATACACAAATTGTTTAATGCTCGACATAAAATTGCAAGAATACAAATAAACCAATTCTCATGTCAACTATAGAGACAGAGAAAAGAAAGCCAATTTTAAAAGTTATTAGATGCCACTCAAAATTTATTAGCCTACAGAAAGAACCTCAATTCTCAACTCCTCTTTAACTACTCAAAAAAATAAATAAATAAATAAATCATAAAAGAGAAAGAATAATCCAGCTGGAACAGAGGATAATGTATTAGACACGATTCCATACGTATTATTTGCATGAGAATTACTTATTGAAAACTAAAAAGAGGACTTTGTTCTTGCATATTTTCTAAGATAACTCTATGTTATGACGTGGAATAGTTAAGCGTCATTCTGCAACCATCAAAAAGGCATTCAAGAAAAACAAGAGTCACTGCCCTATAAACCTAGTTTTGAGAATGCTAACTACCTAACATCAAAAACCAAATTGACTTGGAAGAACTTGCAACCAAGATTTCTTGCCAAAACAAACTTAACTTTTAAAGTTTGAAGCAACAAACTGTACCAAGCAAATCTTGAACTTCAGCTATCGGTCCCAATTCTTAGATGCTGGACTTCTGACAAGCTATACATGTTATCATCCTAAAAACTATGAACACCTAAACAAGGCAGCTTTTCTGATTGTATGGCATGTTCCATACTGAAGTAACACAGTAGCTAAAAAACAGAGGATGACCCTTCGCAACAAGTATTGAACTTACAGAAGATCAAGAGAAAACATCCTTGTTCTTATAAAACAATGCAATTTCCTCAAAAAAATTGCTCATGCATTAAAAGCTACTAGTAATCTAGCTGTTTAAGAACTTAAGCAGATTGGATCAAAAGGAACCAACTATAAAACGCAGCAATTCATGCAGGCAGCACTAAAACAAATATGATACTGGAGAAAAAAATAAAAGGCTCCCAAACTCCTGCTTCTTTTGGTAAAATTATAATTCTATAAAACACTTTAACTTTCCCATCCTACAAATCCACTCTCAACAAACACCTAAAGAAAGTACTTGGTTCACTAAGAAACTTCAGTTCCTCAAGCAGAATGGTTGACCAACAAACATAGCTATATTAGGGAAATTGTAAAAATTTTTATTTAAAAGTTTATTTTAATTGAATGGTGTTTAAACACTCAGACCTTGTTAAGAAAGCTACTACTACTTGAGATTTTGACTTACAAATGAAATTTTAGTAATGAACTAATATATGCAATACATAATAAGCAAAATTTCCATCCAAGCATAAAGCAAGAATATTAGCTTTACCAAACAAGGCAATTAATTTTTCATGCATGTAACCCTTTAAAACCATTTGTTCATTGATATTTACAATTGCAAAATTATCATTATGTTTTTCCATCCCAAAACTCCAAAACATCTCATGATAGCAAAATTTTTAAAGTGAAGGAAAGACAAACTAAATTGATGTCTCAATGTCCGTTACTGATCCAAAACAATTGCAAATTGCTTCCCTGTGAAAATCAGTCGATAAGTCTATTTAAATAGTAAGTAAACGGCAATAAAAAGGAAACTTATAGTTAATATTAATTCCATATCAGTAAAGCATATATCTTAATTTTGATTATTAAGCAAGAGCAAGCACAAACAGTTACAGACCTGCATATGCATAACTACATTGAAGTAAATTTAGTGGCATCTATGCATGGAGATATGCAACGTGTCAATACATGAAAAAGATTGGCAGAATCCCTAAGATGTCACCTTTTGTAACCTTTTTTGCTTCTCTTGCTGCAGTGAATAAACCATGCCTGTTAATTTAGCTAGAGTATCATTGCTGATACTCTTTGATTGACCATTTGCAGGATCAATCAGGCTCAAATGAATGTCACTAACCGTCTTCAAGAAATCAAAGGACATCACAACTGACAGCTCATGAATCATATTAATGTGGCTGTTAACTTTCTCTAACCGAATAATCTGCAGATTCAGTAAAAGTCGAAAAACAAATCATTAGAATATACAAACTACAGCACTATTAGTACAACTTAAAAATCCAGACAGCAGTTATCAACAAACCTTCTCATTCTGAAGCTCCTGAAGGTGAGACTTAAGCTCCCCCAGTTTCTTGACTGTCAAATCACGCTCATTTAGTTGAGGATCAGCAGACATGATAGGCTGACCATTGCCAGCTATTTCTGCACAGATTCGTACAATCTGTGATTGGGTTTCAGTAAAATCCTTGACTCTTTGCTCCATTTTCGACCTCAGATCCTCTAAAACAGGTCTTACAGAAGATATTTGCTGTTTGAGAGTGCCCTTTCCCTTCTCAAATTGTTGTACAAATAAGCCAAATCAACACACAATATGAAGGACAAAACAGCTATAAAGCGGATATAACCTAAGATAGTAGATGCCTAATGTAGACCTCCATATGATTAATTTTAAACATAAAGTGGGGCTTGTTATATGGATCATATATTGCGCTAATCTGCTCTTTAAGACCACATCATCAGAAGCACTTAAAAGCAAAGGTCATTTTTTCCACCCATGTCCTATCCAATTTTACACATAGAAGGCCATCTTTCATATGATTTCACAATTATTCTTGCATAATTTTTTCTCTTTCTGAACCAAAAAAAGGAAAGCATTCCCTATCTTAAGAATACTAGCAGCAAAAACCAAAACAGGTCTTAAAGCAGATATTTGCTGCTTAAGAGTGCCCTTTCACTACTCAAATTGCATAAACGAGCCAAATCACACATGGTATGTAGCATAAAAAAAATTGTAATCCATTTAAAACTTAGATACTTCGCACATAATGTAACCTGTTGCCTACTTCATTTTACATGCTAAAGGACATGTTTTTCCTAATGATTGCACAAATGTAAATGATCCAAAGCAACACATGATGTGCAGGAAAAGACAACCATAAAGCAAATATATACCCAAAGATAGTATATACAGAAAGTAAGTTACTGTCTATGCAATTTTACACATACAATAATAATAACATAGTAAGCTTTTTCACACAAAATAGGGCCGAATATTATGCCACTGTGTCGTAAGAGCATGTCCTCAGTAAAACTTAGTAAAAAATGAGACATATTTTTTGCATCCATGTCCTATTCAATTTGATGCAAAATATAAACCAATCTTTTCCCTGATGATTCCACAAGTGTTCTTGCAACATCTTATTTTTCTTCATTTTGCAACCAAAAAGGCAAGCATTTTCTACTGCAAGGATAGTAGTAGAAAAATCAAAAACAACAAATTTGGCCTTTGTTTTTGCTACTTACTTTCAATATTTGTTTTTGCTTCCTAAAAAAACTGCTAAAAAGCAAAATCATAAATAGATTAAAAAAACATAAATGAGTAAATTACTAAAATGTACACCAATCTTAACATAAATATTCTATATAAAAGTAAATTTATGCATTTTACATCGAAAAGAATTTTAATTTTAATTATTCAAAATTATTTATTAACTTTTGTATCTAAAGTGTAAAAATCAAACAAAAAAAGCAACAATCAGACAGAAGCTTAGAAAATGCAAGCATTTGCGCCTTGATTCAATTTTACATCATTTCACATTGCAAAACAGTAAGAACAAGAAAAAAGAAAAATCAACGAACCCTCGAGAAGGAGATGGAATGTTCGCCGAGGGCGGAAACGAGGTTGGCGATTTCGGATTCAGATTGAGCCAAACAGTGATGCAAATCAGCCTTGTACTTTCGCGTCATTTCCACTTTTCTTCTGTATATATCCAAACATTCTTGCTCCAATTCCAACAGCATCTTATCTCTTTCTCCATCACTTTCCCCTATTTCATCCCATATTATCTAGTAAAATAACATCAAATTATTTGATTTTCTCAGTCAAATCAATTTAAAAAATAAATAAATTTCCCAAAAAAAAGTGAGAGATAGAGAAAGAACCTGCAATTCTTGAAGGAGAGAAGCGCAAGTGGTTTGGGAGCGAGAGGGAGAGAGAGACGGGGGCAAAGTTGTCATTTTTTGGGACAAACAAAACACAAAAAAAGAAGATTAAAGAAAAGCTCGAAACCCTAAAGAAGAAAAGCAAAGCAAAATGGAAGCGTTAGGAATCAGAGTTTTGAATTTTAATAAAGAGGGAAGATTTTGGATTTTTTTTTTTTTACATTTCCGAAATTTTGATTTGATTTCCTTTTTTTTTCTTTTTTAATGCAAAGATTTTATTTTATTTTACTAAAAAGATTTTCCACTGAGAGAAAGTGAGAGGAAAAAAAAAAAAAAAAGAAAGAAAGAGAACTTTCCTTTGGAAAACAGTAGCGATACGGAAATTTAAGTTGTTTTGGCGCGAAACTGCACGCCGTGATTTCCCTTTTTTTGTCTTTTTTCTTTCTTTTTTTTTGTTTCTCTTCTTTCTTTTGATTTTTACTTAAAAAATTAGAATAACAATTTTATTTGTAAAATGAATTTTTCAAGCCTCGCTAGCCTTAAAAAAGGCATTTAATTTACAAAATTTTGGATTTCGAAAAAAAATATAAATCCCAAAAAAGTGAAATATTTGGAGTTTTTTTATTTTTAAAATATCTTATATTCAAAATTACTTGTTTAATTAGAGAGACTCTACATATATTAATTTTTGAATAATTATTATAACATATTTAAAATATATAATGACTTCTTGATATATATGATCATAACTTTTTATTAATTTTTATTAATAATATATACCTAAACAACAAATGTGCCTTTAATAACAAAAGAAAAAAAATATTTTATTTGATTGTTGTTTTTATTTATAAAATATTATTAATAAAAAAAATTAGAGATTATTTAAAATATTTTTAGTTGAAAAATGTCTTAAATAATTTTTTTTTATTTTTTTAAAATTAGATTATTTATGTTCTAAAAATATCTTAAATAAATATCATTTAAAAAATATGACTTTGATACATTTTAAAATGGATTATTTAAGGTATTTTTTATTCAAAAATACCTTAAATAATCCCTTTTAAAATGTATCAAAAGATTACTTAAGGCCTTTTTGGATAAAATCCTTAAATAATGTCCTTTAAAAATTTTAAAAAGATTATTTGAGGTATTTTTTGTCCAAAAATACTTTAAATAATTCTCTTTAAAATGTATCAAGAGATTATTTAAGGTATTTTTTATCCAAAAACACATTAAATACTCTTTTAAAATTTTTTAAAGGATATTATTTAAAATATTTTTTCACCAAAAATATCTTAAATAATACCCTTCAATTTTTTGAACTGTATTATTTAAAGTATTTTTTATCAAAAATACCTTAAATAATTTTTTTCATCAATTATAAGATTCAGAAGATAAAATATAAAAAAAAGAAGTAGCTCAATCAGTTAGAATATATGACTATTAACTATAAGGTCACAGATTTTATTTTTCTTTCTACCATTTATTTTTTAAGATTATTTATAAGATTTTTTTTATTATTTAAGGTATTTTTTATCAAAAAATACCTTAAATAATGTTGATCAATTTTTTTAATGGATTATTTAAGATATTTTTTGCTCGAAAAGATCTTAAATAATCTTATTTAATTTTTTATAAAAAATTATTTAAGGTATTTTTTTGCCAAAAACACCTTAAATAATCTCTAAAAAATTGAATAAACTTATTTAAGGTGTTTTTGGCTAGAAAACACCTTAAATAATACTAAAAAAAATTGAACAAGATTATTTAAGGTATTTTTCATGCCAAACGCCATTAATTACTATATAAAAAAATTTAATTAACAAAAATCTACAACTGATTTGTAGTCACTTCAAAACATGTTTTTCAAAATGAAAATGACTATTTCATAATTTTTTATTCAGGTCAAAATTTGAAAATAACATAACTTTTTCCCCTAAAATCTTAGAATACTACAAAAAGAAATAGGTTTCTAATTCTGAAACTTTGGATACTATTGAAAATCTATAACTTTTCTTTTGAAATCGGATTATCTTAAACCAAACGTTAGAATCAAATACCTAGCAGTAAGATTTCAAAAAAAATGTAAAGATTCCCTTGAACTAAATGCATCATAAGAATTTCTTATTCAAGGTTCGATTTCATTCGATCTATAAACCTAAAGCACCAAAAAAAATTAACATTAAAATATTTAAAATAATAATATTTTAATATAATTTGGAATTAGAATTAAATAAAAATCATTTTTATTAATGAAATAATGTCTCAAGTCACACTGGACAAAGGCTTTAAAATTTTTGTCTAAGATTTGATCAATTAGGCCTACCTACTCAATCTTTGAATAAATTTAATCATATTTCAAGCAAAAATCACTTAAGACAACCATCAAATTTCATAAAAGAACCATAATTAGCGAAAAAAAAAATCATAAAGAACAAACCTTCTTTTTACATAAAAAGAATCCTTCCATTTCAAGTCAACAAAACAAATTAAAAAAAAAGAAATATCAAAAATTATGCATTAAACTCAAATCATAAAGAAATATGCAAAAAAATAAATATCAAGTAAATAACAAAAAATTAAAAAAAAAAGTATTTTCTCTCTCCTAAAATTTTGGTTTAGGGCTTTCTATAAAGATTTTAACGATTCAAAGCTATGGAAACCAAATAAAAATATTGAAAAGCTATCATGAAAGTTTATTAGCCAACAGTGACAATCCTAAATTTGAATAGTTAGTTATAGCTTTAAGGCTAGATTTGTAGAGTTTTAAAGAATTTTGTAAAATTTTAATTTGATAGAAGTATAAAAAAAAGGTCAAAGGAAGATGTGGTGACTTTTAGGATAATTTCATCATTGATAAATGGTTGTCGAAGAATGAAGCAACAATAATAGTTACCTATTAAAATTTACAAATAAAAAGAGAGAATTTGAGGTAAAAAGATAAGGTGTAATTTAGAGAAAGATAAAGCTAAAATTGAAGAAATGAAAAAAAAAAAAAGATAATCTAGCTCCTAAACTGATGCCATTTTAGTGAGTGAGAAAATAACAAAGAGAAAAATGAAAAGAAAAGAGAATCTATGAAAATAAATGGGTCAACTCGACCCAGCTTGTTTTGGAGTTAGGTTTTGATTAAATGTTTATTTTGGGCTCACTCCAAAAAATAACAAAATATGATTTATTATTATTGTTGTTGTTGTTGTTATTGTTGTTGTTGTTGTTGTTGTTATTGTTATTTTTATTTTTTTGTTATTATTAATGTTGTCATTATTTTTGTTGTTGTTTGATAAAATTCATTTTTATTATTGTTACAATTAAAAATTTTGTCCAAACATAAAATGGGTTTCAATGTAAATTAAATTTATGAAATTACTTTAAAAATTAAAATAATATAATAAAATAATAAAAATAACCATCGAAGGTCTGTGTCCCAAATAGCCAAACTTGTTTTATTATTTTGATTTGTTTTTATGTAATTTAAGAATTCTTTCACTTTAAAAGTTTTACCTTTAGCTCTCAAGTAATTGGCTAATTACTAACTAAATGAACCACACCATTGTCCTTATTATGTTTCTTAATGCTTCAAATAAGTAATATCACTTGAAAAAAAAAGAAAAAAATTATTTCATTTTTAAGATAAACAAACTAATATTAATGCAAAGTATATATAATACTCCATGTAAAATATTAATGTAGCAAAGGAATTAGGATTCTCACATTGTTTCTTGAACAAGAATGAGATTTGACTGCAATAAATTATTCTTTCCAAAAATAATCCTTTGGTTCTTTACAAAATCAATCCTAGATAAAACTCTACTAATGAAGTGTGTTGATCTAGGCTATAAGCTCATAAACATTTCTTTCACGAGGCATGGTAGGCACACACAATTTGATTAAACCCTTAACTGCATATATATAAAAAGTCTTTTGAATAAAAATGAGATGTTTTGCCCACTTTGGATAACTCTAAAAAGGGCTTAAACAAGGATTCTTCTTTATTTGTCAATGCCAAATTTAAGAAACTATTTCTTTGTTAACTATTTTTCCAATTCTCATTATAGGTTATAATAAATTTGACTTATTGTTTGAATTAATAAGCTTACATGTAAACATAATTAATCTTATATTATTTTATATTTTAGCTTATGTTTTGATATAGTTTAACTTTTATATTTTTTCTTAAAGATGTCAAATGAAATAATTAATATAAATACATCACCTAATGCTACTCAATCAATCCCTTAAGTAGACTCACATGATGGAGTAAAAAGTAACGTTGCAAATTTTAAAGTGAAAAGGAAACAATCTAACTCATGGTCTATAGGACCATTTCACCAAATTTATCAATGATAAAGGTAATATATCTACATTAAATAATCACATTGACTTTTGTGCCAAATTTTCTTATGCTAGTGGTGATCTTTCTTAGTAAAATTAGTTTTAAACTTATGAAGATTTAGGCATTACATGTCAGATTTTGTGTGCTATCATAAGGGATTGTTATGAGGGATTGTTATTAACTTTATATAAATGAAAAAACTTACCTAAAGCAATTCTTAAAATCATCTCTATGAAAAGTAACTCTTACCATTAATAAATGAATCTTATTAAAAAGAATCAATTATATGTGTCTTACAACTAGTCATTTTATAGATAATGATTGAAAACTAAACAAAATGATATTAAAATTTTATAGATAATGATTGGAAACTAAACAAAAGGATAATAAACTTTTGTTTCATTTTTAGTCATAAAGGTGAGTCTAATAATAAGGCAATTGAGAAATACTTAGTGATTGGGGGATTGATAAGGGTTTTATTATTACAATTAATAATGTTAGTTCAAAAATGTTGCAATCTCGCTTAAGGAAAAAATTAACAATGCAATAACTAGTATTGGATGAGGTAAATATCTTTATTTGAGATGCACTGCTTATACTGTTAACCTTATTGTTAGTAATGGGTTAAAAAATGATTGATTCAATTGCTTATGTTAAAGGACAATGAGATATACGAGACAATCACCCTATAAGTTAGCCAAGATTAAATAGTATGCTACCAATTAACATATTCAAAGTAAGAATTTATTGTGTTTGTATATTAACATTAGGTGAAATTTTACTTACTTGATGTTGAAATAAGCCCAAAAGTTTGAAAGAGTTTTG